ATATATATATATACACACACACACACAACATGTATACTTGAATTTAATTTGCTTTTGGCAAATACCTAAATATGCATCAGTACATATTATTTTTGGAGTATACTTACAGTATTTCAGAGGAAATATGTTATTTAAGAACTAGTCAACTTTCTTATAATATAGATCGATTGTTTAACATTACTGAAAATCAATTAAAAAACGCAAAAAATAGGAAACAAGATTCATGTTGTCTTGCTCTTTGTCGAAAGTCTCGTTGCCAGGGAGTAAGCATGTGGAAAATTGTGCACAATCATGTACAATATCCCCAAGTACAAAATTATGCCGATAGTAAGGAAGAGATCAAATACAGCAGGCTTTACACTGCAATAAAATCAAAATCATTACATATAATAGAGCCAAACATTATGTAATGTATTGCAATATATGCATATATGTACAAAAACAAAATACTATATACTTTACCTATATACATTCAGAGTTGCTTTTGTCACATCATAGAATACAAATTCCGGATCTTGTTTATCAGGAGTATGAAGAGTAATTTTCACATCCCCCAAATACCTTGCCATTGCTTCTTTCAAAGTACCAACCAATAAATTTTGTTTATCCGCTAATAATGAAGCTGCTCTTGGTTGAGAAGCAAAATAATTAAACCATAAAGAAAGTGATTCCTTTGATACATCCTGTAAAGAATTTGACAAGAAGTATAAGTTTCATAAGCATATATTGCTATGAATATTAGTAATATTTAATTATTAAATCTAAATCTACATATAATATAAATTTTCAATGATTTTCTAATATTCTATTCCAACAAGTTTTTATTTTATTAGTACTTATTATTTAATATCTTACTTTCTTACATGCATATATATTTAAAATATATAAAACGTGAAAAAAGACAACAATGCTAGAAATATAAAAATTTATGGTAGTTAACTTACCAATGGACCAGCAAAGATTTGATTGGAACTCAAATTATATACATGACGTGCTAATGCTTCTGATACAATTTGAGTATGCTTATATAATCTATCTATTTGTCCTTCTCTAACGATATCTAATATAGTAGTTCTAGTCGAATTTTCATGACTTTTTAATGTAGATAAAGTAGCAGCTGGCAATCTACGAATGCTGTATCTTTCATGTTCCCAAGCTAATGTCTCTTCTGCAAGATTTATCTTTTTATGCACACCTTCAACATTGATAGTGTTTAATGATTGAGATACAGCTTTAAGCTCTTTATAAAACAAACCACCGGATGAGTTCTCCTTAGGTGGTTTTGATACATGTACATATAAATTATTGCTAGCGGAAACTGTGTCGAGGCATATCACATAAGCTGCATCCTATATTTTCAAATTCATTATATAAATTAGGAATATCAATAAAATCAATCATAAATATCAATATAATAATTGTATTACCTGTATAACAGAACCTTCAACACCATCTAATTGATCCTCCAACCATTTCTTACTACCCTGATAATTTAATTTGCCAGCTCCAGTTGCAATAAAAACAAGATTATATTGTGGTCTTGTTCGACCAGTGGAATATAAAGCAGAAAATAGTCTTGCTATTTCTAATAGCATAGCTATACCGGAAGCATTACTATCTGCACCAAATGACAATTCCTGCAACAACATTGTATCATGATACAAGTTACATACATTCAAGTGCAATTTTATGTCATAAATAATACTAAATAAACTAATAAACTTACAGGTGCTACACCAGTACTATCGTAATGTGTCACTATTGCTATGGTAGGTAATTTTTCTTCGGTACCAGTTCCAGTTAATTTGCCATGCAACGTGGCAACTTTAACATCTGTTTTAGGAAACGCTTGTCCAGTGGTTACTACCACTTGATAACCGCTGGCTGAAATTGAATTATATATGGCTTCTGCTGCAGAACCAGTCTTATCATCTGTGATAAAACCACCTGAGATATCATTTAGAATCGTTTGAAGTTCTGGATGCCACAATGCAAAATATACAGGTATCATTGTTTCAGGACCGTGCATCATAGATTCTTCCAGATTCATAATATGCTGAAAAAAATAAGCTATCACTAATTTACTTCAATTTTCGAACAAATCTAGTTATTTAATAACTTCATTACAATACATAACTTCTTACAATAAACAATATGACAAAAACAATTTGAAATGTAATAAAATTTCTTAGTAATCCTATGACTAACTTGCTTTTCCTCTGTCGTAAGTAGATTCATCTTCTCAGGTAGAACAATTACTAATGCACCAGCCTTGCTTCTGATGGATTGGAAGACAGATGGTGTGATATCCAACGCTCTGGCGACGACGCAATGCCTGGAAGTGCTCCACCCAGTCAAGGACCTCGCCTCCAAGGAAACAGGCGCGCTTCGGCAACCTGGTCGACATATAATCACGTTTCCTTAAGAATTAATTTCCAAATGAATCATCATAAATAGAACGACAATGTCTTACCATGTGGAACTCCATGCAGATCATACTGATGCATACGATACACAGGGAACTCGTGAGAGGCGGCCACCGGATTTACCGGGGAGATTATGATAAATATCGGTAGAACTATTAACAGATAGTATGGCAAGTATCCACGGCACAGTTCGGCGAAACCGTCGCATTCCTCCAGCCACATGTTTCCACCGAGAGATTTGTACCGGTTCAAACGAAAATACGATATTCACGCAGTTTCATCAATCTAAGTTCATCGATGGACTCGTGCTCTAGCCTTTGCTCCGTGACAATGATGGCGAATCTCGGATCAGGTTATGTTAAGTATGACTAGAAACATTCTAGAGAAGTCCTGAGAGAGGCCGGAGAGCGCGCCATCCTGACCTTTTTCGTGAATCATCGAAATCCTCGTACATTAACGCCCCCAAGTTCCATTTTAACATATTGAAATTAAGTAGCCATTTTCCTTTTATTTTCCTTTTACACTGCCGATAAAATCTTATTTTGATGTACATAAGTCCATGCTACTTTGACAATTTGTGGACATATTTATATAATTAATTATATAATTACGTGCGCATAATTTTTTTATTGTAGAATAAAGTAGTGATAAACATTCATATTAATATATACATTTATTAACATACTTATATTTATATCTACATATACAATAAAGTATGATAAATATTTTCTTATTTTTATAAAATTCTTTATATTAAATTTCTTCATATAATTATCTTATATCTTACATTTATTTGTATTCATTGTACGTATAATCTTTATTCCGAATTTTCATTTTTAAAATTTAATATTTATTCCTGCTCCTAATATTTCTTCCATTATGCGCAGAGCGAAACGAAAAGATGTTATACTTTGTAATATTTAATTTTATTATACATAGATGTGAAACGTTTATGTTCGAAATGGCGAGACAATGGTGCGTGGCCTTGGTATTTTGTTTACAATCAACAGGTATTGTGTATATACGCGCGCACAACGCGCTATCATTCAGTCGCCGACTGTCGTAGGGACGCAAAGTGTTGCGTATCGCTCCACGTATCTTCGCGTTTTCTTTTCACAATCACAACGAAATCGCGACGAATTTTACATGACATAGAATATCGATGTATTTTACGATGTAATAAAGTTTGACTGCTCGCGCTTGATTTTGACTTTATCGAATTTATATCAAAAGCCAACTTGTTTCATTAAATAATTTCCGGGCGACGGAAATGACTCGATTCATTGATCGATGCTTATTTTTTTAAAGTATAGTAGTAATTCATGACTTTTATAAACGATAATGTCTCTGATGGATATTGTCTTGACATGACGAAAGCGTTGCGTATTCCAAAGATTTTCTTTTAATGATTCTAATCTACAGTCTAAAGTTTAATTCAAATATCTTTAACTTGAACGTGAATTCTCTTAGAATTTGCTTTTTCACTTTGATATTCTCATCGATTTAAATATAAATCGTATATTATTTTGATATAGTTAATTTATTCGTTTAATAATTGTTTATTGTAACAAATATACATAAGATATATCTATATTTATCTCAAGTAAATTATAATGAGTTTATTAAGAGTGCGTTCGTTTTGGACGCTCGTGCGTTATATTTTTATTATTCATATGTATATATAAAGGAAGATATGCTTACAGCGCGTGAATATCCAAAGAAACAGCAAATGTACGATAACAGAATATTTAGAAGGTATTTAAAATGTAATGATTATATTATTTAACGTTCCGTTATCGAAAGATAATTGTGATAACACTTCGTGAGAACGAAATTTGATTTGTAATATTGTGGAATATTTCATCGCAGCCAAACTATTCTTGTTGTAGCCTTGAATTATGTTTACGCGCCGCGATTGGTATATCATGTGTTTACGCGCGCGAATAGCGCGTCACGTGTTTACGAACGCGCCACGTGCTGTCATTCACAGTCATTCGTTCGCTGGCATTCATACGGGAAGCAGTGCGCGTTGCTCCGCGTTTTTTCGCATTGTTTCAGTATTGTTTGTTAAACAATACTAAACGTTACTGTATTGTATGAATATAACAGTAAATATTTATTAATGATTAACGATGAAAAAAAGTTGAAATAGCAACTTTTCAACAAAGTATATACACATTTAGTAAGTATATACATTGCGCGACGTATTCCTTCGAAATTTATAATTATTTTTATATTACTTTTTGTAAATAATGACTCCTCCGATAGATATGACCTTAACGCGGCGGGAAGGGCTGAGTATTCCGAGGGGTTCCGTACCTCAAAGATGAAGAAACGAACAGTACCCGTTAAAAATAATAATTGGAACATTAACTTTATTATTTGTCATATAATTTTTATAAATATATTCTCAAAATTTAAATTAAATGTTTTCTTATAAAATCTAAAATGCATGCAAAAAATATTATAAAAAATATATACAAAGATATTTCTAACAATTATATTTAACGTTCTATATATACATTCTGCAAATAATTTATTTATGTAAAATATACTTTAAATAATAAATAATGCCTTTAATTAAAGTAATTAAGAAATTAAATGGTCAGTTTTAAATTTGTTTGTCTAAAATTCCTTGTCTTAAATGCATTATTGAATTTAAATGGATACATGCCTGTGTCGACTATTCTATCATATCAAAGTTCTCAAATATTCCGTCCGATGGCGCCTCCTTTCCATCTTGCAGCTTTGTCAAGAAAGCATTTTATTTCGATTCCGATCAAGAATAAAATATTAACAATAAAAAATAATTTTTAAAAATTTTCTAACGATAAAAAGAAACATTATTAAAGATTTATTACATTATTTAAAACAGTCAATATTTTCCATGGAAAGACTAATGATGTCTTTTTATTATATATTTTATAGTATGACATCTAATAAAATATGTTAAATAGCATATATAATGATATAAAATGTATAGTTCTTTATTAATTATATATTTTTTATTATATATACAGGATTATATATTATTTATATTAAACGTTAAATTTTATTTTCTATCAAATTTATATAACAGTTAAAAGGTGATTAATATTTTTAGGTGATTAATATTTTTATTATATATATATATATATGTGTATGTGTGTGTGTGTGTGTATGTATGTATAAAAAAATTACATATATATCTTTCAGAGCAGATGCTTCAAGAATTTTCGGCTCAATTAATTTTAACCATTTCAAGCGTGTATTC